GTAATTAAATTACGTAATTCCGTTACATGTAACTAGTTACTCCCCAACACTGTATATATGTATATATATGTGTGTATACAGTATGTGTGTATGTTTATGTGTATGTATATGTATGTGTGTGTGTGTGTATATGCGTGTGTATATATGTGTGTGTATGTGTATATGTATATGGGTGTATATGTGTGTGTGTATGTGTGTGTATATATGTATATGTGTATGTATATATTTATCAGTCTGGCGAGTAAACAAAAAAAATGTACTAGCCAATGGCGATTCAATTGCCAAGGTGTTTGTAGAGGGCTGTTTTGTGTAGTTGGACTTTTGACTTGAGCCCCTTTAGCTGCTGGGATGGAGCCTTTGTGACAAATAGCCCCAGTCTGCCCATTAAAAGTTAAGCTGATGTTAAACGGTGTTCTTTTTTGACAGATGCAGCAGAAAGAAAGTTACATTCTCAGTGAGTTCAACAAGCTAACAGGCAGCCACCTCGAGCCACTCACAAAGAGATGCACATAGGACATGTGACGTTACACACTGGACCGCTTCTTGAAAGAAACTCTTGGGCCGTAAATAAGCGAGAAAAGCACATTTGCTACAGCGTAGTTCTGAATCTTGAATTAAAACCAATGGAACACTGTTGATTTTTTTCTAAATAAATTTTATTTAAAATGTGTTTAAGGAAGTAATGAAAGACTGAATACTAAGCAATTAAGTAGAGCTTATACCACTGTTTCAGAGAACACCATACACACAATGTCCAAACAAGTCCCACTCTTCCATGAACCTACTCAGATGATCAGAACAGAAAACATGAATAAAGTGGTTACCGAAGACATGAAAATGAGAACGGCAGTACAGTACAAATCAGACAGTGAACAAGATCTCAAATAAATAATATCAGCTGACTTCATGTGAAGCACTCTCATCAGTGTGCTTCCTATATTCAGTAAACGTTTTTCATTTGACGTCTTTCTGAAGACAGACATTCTACACAATGGCTGTGCAACTTCACACTGTAAAGCTCTATATATAGAAGGAAAACAAAATTGTTTTACTAGGTCTGTAGGTGTGGAGAGGCATAAAGATTCTTGAAGGGAGATCTTTAAAAAAAAAAAAAAAAGACAAGCTACATCAACACCACTGAGCTTGTTTGATTAACGTTTATAAAATAAGAATAAAACAACCAACAGTCACCAGTAAAGCCTTGAATATAAATCAGTACTATTCCAAGTCTCTCTTCATCGCTATAGGTCATATAAAAGCCGACTGGCAAAAGCAAATATTGCACCACATTTTCAGCTGCATATCAAACAAGACAGACAGCCCATATTCCCTATTCCACCCAAACATACACAAGAATAAATTTTTATATGCAATAGATTGAAAAGGAAATCTAAAATTTGCAGAGGGGAAAGGGAAAAAAAATATTTCTTAATGCACAAGTTTACCAGAGGGTCTTTTCATCAAGGCAAACAAAATATTTAAACAAAAGAAAGACAACAAAAAAATAAGAGCAACTTCAACTCTAAATGCTTTCTATATTTCTATATTTATTTTCTTTGCGTAGCCCCATAAACATTTGTACCTACGAGTTTCTAGAACATTTACCCATCTAACTGCAAGTCTACATTTGACACGGCAACAGTATTTCACAGGGAGCAATGGGAAAAGTGAAAGAGAAATAGAAAAGGAAAAGTGCCCAAAGTAGGTGCATGTGTGTGTGGACAGTCTTCAGTAGTACTGATGAAGGGTGTAGCGTTTACCCCTGGCTCAGTTCAGCTGTTCATCAGCAGAAGGATCCACCCGGATGGGATGTTAGAAGCGTGCGAGAGCGTTTATAGCGGCTGCAGCACTGTGCGACCGGCATCACCGTTCCCTCCTGCCTTCTCCAGCTCAGACAGCTCATCAAACACATCTCTGAACACAAAAACATCTCATCAGATCACAACAATAGCAGTGGGTCTCATTCACTAATTTGCATGGATTTCTTGTATTTATACTTACTTGTGCATGTAGAAAAAGATGTATCCACTCCTGTCACGATCTCTCTGAACTGTGGACTCCTGTGTGCGGGAGACGTCCAGATCATTGTATGTGAGCCAGGACTGTTTCCTCATGTCATAAACATCACTAATGTATGGCCCTCTAGGAGGAAAGGCTCAGTTCAGCTGTTCATCAGCAGAAGGATCCACCCGGATGGGATGTTAGAAGCGTGCGAGAGCGTTTATAGCGGCTGCAGCACTGTGCGACCGGCATCACCGTTCCCTCCTGCCTTCTCCAGCTCAGACAGCTCATCAAACACATCTCTGAACACAAAAACATCTCATCAGATCACAACAATAGCAGTGAGTCTCATTCACTAATTTGCATGGATTTCTTGTATTTATACTTACTTGTGCATGTAGAAAAAGATGTATCCGCTCCTGTCACGATCTCTCTGAACTGTGGATTCCTGTGTGCGGGAGACGTCCAGATCATTGTATGTGAGCCAGGACTGTTTCCTCATGTCATAAACATCACTAATGTAATGCCCTATAGGAGGAAAGAGACAAACAGCAGCTGATAAAACTTACTGTACTTGGTCCACAATGCAAAAACAACAGCTAAAAGACGCCAGTACCTGATGATGAACTGCTGCCGATGTGACTGACCACACTGATGAGTCTGAAGGAGTTCGGAAGCTCTCCAGTCTGGGGAACAAATCATTACACAATCATTCAAACCATGCCCTGAAAACTGGCACTTCTCAAACCGCACAGAGGGTCTCAGACTCACCTCAGCGTTCTTCTTGAGCTCTTCAGCTTCAGCCTCACTGTACTCCATATCCAGGCCATCCTCATTCCCAGAGTCGTCATCAGAGCACAGCAGCTCTGGCAAAGAGTTATTAAACTCTACAACAACACACACCATCCACGTTAACAAAAACGTTCACATAAACCAAGATAATGTGACACAGAACAACACTATGTTCTGGGTGTGTCATTCTGACCTTGCAGGCTGAGCTCAGTGGCTCTCTTCAGATCGTCATCTTCCCTCATCTCTCTCGCCTCCTGTGCAATTAAACACAGATAATATTCACTGAACAACACAGTCATTATCATCATCATCAGTTAAGCTGTGCTGACGTCAAGGATGAACAACACTGGAAAAGTACATCTGCCAAGAAGATTGTGCTAAAAGACCTACATTCTCAATAATATGCCCAAGCCACTTGTGAACTGAAAATCAAAATAGACCCCCCAAAAAATCTTGAATAGAATGAAGCAAAGTACTTTTTTTTGGCAAAGTAAAAAAAGTCTTTTTGTTGTTGTTGTTTGTTTTACTTCAGATATTTTGATTTATCAAGATTTTAAAACGGTCTTTAAAATGTTTTATATTCAAAACACACCACAATTATGTTACTTTGATTGTGTGGTGAAATATGGCCTGGATATGTTATTGAGTATCAGTGAGATTCACCCCCACCCCCCAGGATTTTTTTTTAGCTGTAATAAAGTTAAATTATAATTCTTTACCAAATTATGCAACGTATAATGATCTCTACGTTTGTCTGTGTTTCAGTTTATCAGCAAATAAACACACAAATGCAAACTGAGGGAGAATTTAAACCAATTAGACAATACGTTAGGTAAAAATTCACAAGATTAAGAAGTGTAAAAATCAAGGTCCACAATACAAGTATTACGATGATCACAATCTTATTAAATTCATAAAATATAGAATTTACAGCTAGATTCCTTACATGTTCCTGTAGGCTCTGTGCGAGGGCCTGCTGTAGCTCCTGTTCCTCTCGCTCCTGGTCTAAACTGTACTGCTGCACCCAGTCCAGCTCTCCCTGCACACCTTCAGGCGTCTGGTTCTCCTTATTCTCATCCATGGTCAGATCTAGAGACTCCAGGGCATCTAAACCAAACAATGAACAAACACAACTCTATAGACACTGTAGGCCGGGAATATAAACATGAAGTCTAGTTAACACTCTAGTTACCTGCAGGCTGTTTCTCTCCATCTAGAAGCTCTAAATGATGAGTCAGGTCCTGCCCGTCTGCATCTCCAAACCCTGTGTCTGGGCTGCTGGTTGGCTCGTCATCAGGGCATCCGGACAAACTAGTGTCGTGCCGACTCATCTCCAGCACAGCTGCTAGCATCTCATCATCGTTGATTGCATTAAACTCCGAGTGCTCGACCTGTGCATTGTGCTGCACCTGTGAACAAAAGGGAGGTTAGATGTGAGGTAGGGCTGTGCGATTTTGAAGAAAAATGCGTTATGCGATACCTTGTTAAAAAATGCGATATTCGATATGCGATAAGATATTGCTTAAAGTGTGAAAAATCAATTTCAATTATATTTTAAAATATTTAAATTATATAGCCAATTTGTTTCACATTCTTTCTTGGAAAACTTCTGAAAGTGACCAGCAGTGTTTTAGCAGTACATTCGATATTGAAGAAAAATGCGATATGCGATACCTTGTTAAAAAATGCGATATTCGATATGCGATACGATATTGCTTAAAGTGTGTAAAATCTATTTCAATTATATTTTAAAATATTTAAAAATGAAAATGATATAACCAAATTTGTTTCACATTCTTTCTTGGAAAAGAAAGAATCACTACAACTTCTGAAAGTGACCAGCAGTGTTTTAGCATTACATAAAAAGTAATTTCACAAATCAGAAAAATGTCATTTTAACATCAGTGTGAAAAATGACACTAATTTTATATCATTGTAACTTTGCTTTCCACACACTTTAAGTACTTCTTCATATACCACAGCAAAAACTATAGTCTGAGAAAGTTCAAACATGATTAAAGGCAAGTGAACAGTCAGTAAAAAAAAAAAGAAACAAAATACACAAGTTACAAGCATAGATAAAATAAACCGTAGTATTCAGATACAGAAATTTAATAATTAAGTGTAAAATAACACTGCATAGTGTTCACTGTATGAATTAAATTTAGATTAATCTTTGTTATAGCTGTTTTGTTGTTTGATTAACATTAGTGACATATTCAGCAGCACGTATTTATAGGCTGCTGTCCCTTTAAATCCGACTGCACGGATCCAGTATAATGATACACATCCGATATCTTTCTCAGCTGTTTACATTCATTTAAAACATAACTGACTGCGTTTACGAGAATGATAGTCGAGACGGGTACTATTGACAATTCTGTGTGTATGTGTCTGCTCAAACATGAGGAGGAGGAGATGCGAAAGACGAATCAACTCGATCTGAAACGCGTCTCTCTGTGTGTGCGGCAGAACTGAAGAGACGCTGCGCGAGATGCGGCTTGTGCGCGCGCTTCAGGTGTGAGACAGCAAGACGAGATGGCAAGGAGTTGTTTTCTGCAACTTATTGCACAACTTTTTTTAACATCAAGAAATTCTCTGCTATATGCGTCGAACTAAAACTTTGACCTTTTGCAACGTTCTTTCTCAGCTGTTTACATTCATTTAAAACATAACTGACTGCGTTTACGAGAATGATAGTCGAGACGGGTACTATTGACAATTCTGTGTGTATGTGTCTGCTCAAACATGAGGAGGAGGAGATGCGAAAGACGAATCAACTCGGTGTTCGCGCGCCGTCTGAAACGTGTCTCTCTGTGTGCGTGCGCTTTGCACGTGTGCGGCAGAACTGAAGAGTGATTTAAGTAGCCTATTAAAATTATTCAGATATCGCACGCCCTTGCGATATGCATATTGCGATATTTCGATAAATCGTGCAGCCCTAATGTGAGGTGCAAACTGGTCATACGTTTCCTTCAAAAGTTTGGGGTCACTACATTTTTCTTTCCCTGTGAAGGGAATTCATCCTTTTAAGAAAGGACAAATTAAATTCATCAAATGTGACCATAAAGAACAATTTAAGTATAATTTTTCAAATAATTAATGCTTTTATTAAATTTCTATTCAAAGAATCCTGAAGAAAACATACCCCAAAAATATTAAGTTGCACAACTGTTTAACAAGTTTGAGCACTAAATCAGCATATTAGAATGATTCCTGAAGGATCATGTGACACTGAAGCCTGAAGTAATGATGCTGAAAATTCAGCTTTGGTTTTTAATATATATTCAAATAGACAAGTTGTTTTAAATTGTAATAATTTCTCAAAATTGTTCCGTTTTTGACTATTTTTGATCAAATAAACAGCCTTGGTGAGCATAGGAGACTTTTCTGAATCTAATCAACCCCAAACTTTTTAACGGTAGTGCAAATATTTGTTAAAATCCTGCCATTAAAAACAGAGATCTATAATTAAGATCTATAATTTGTCAAATGTTTAAGTTTGAAATTCTAGGATGTCTGTTCAACGCCTTACACAATCTACACTGTTTACAACTGCCAGTGTTATTTTAGTATTATATATGCTATTAGTTTTTTTATATTTTAAATTAATTTATTTAAAATCCATTTTAAGTTTAGATATTTAGTCAGTTATTGTCTGCTTATTATTCACTTTAAATATTACTTTTTAAATGTAGTTCATTTTATTTTAGTGCTTCAACTTAAATTAGAAATGTTGCCTAACAGAAATAAGTTCAAGCTTCATCTAATATTTATATTTTATTTCAATTAACACAAATGTTTTAGTTTGTGTTTAAGATAGTAAACCTGATTGTGACATGACACCTTTGTAGATTGTAGCTTGCTGTAGCCAAAGTAACCAAATGTAGAGTGTTTTGATCCACAAATGCCATGTGGACAGATTCAAACAATCCATTAAAAAGACAGCTATTCTTCTCACCTCTTCTGTCCTGTCATCTTCTGAATGATGTTTGCGACCAACTTTTCTGACGAGCTCCTCCTCACTATCCGAGTCACACAACATGCTGCCCGAGCTCTCTGGCTTTTGAGAACCTTTCCTGTAAACCATCAATTTAAAACACATTAGTATGAATCAAGACTAAATACTCTCAGCATGCACATCAGAGGGCTGCTCTCACCGTAGTGTTGAAGAGTTGACCGACTGTGACATCTTCAGCGTCCTGGAGCTGAAATGAAATCAGCCATTAGTGAGTATGAAGGGTGCTACACTAAATGACAGCAAGTGCAAGAGTGAGTCTTACATGGCGGTCTGTGCGCTCCAGCTGAGGCTGAGAGGGGGGCGTGTGGCGTCTGTGCAGTGTGAGAGCAGCGTGAGATATTTGGGGATCAGGACTTGTTGGCCCAGCTTGCTGTTTAAAGACAGCTGACTGTTATAGCTGTAGCGTTTAAGGTGTAGAATCAGCACTCTGCAGAGAGAGAGTCTCATTTAAAGGTTTTGAATTGACCACAAATGAATCTACACAACAACCTAATGTGTGTCTGTTCATCCCAACCTGGGAAGCCTGCTAAATTTGTGAGAGACGGTTGCTGCTTTTCCACTGCATTTTTCACAGGAATACTCAATCTCCTCCATCTATAAACACAAAGCCAACAGGTAATGAAAAGTGAAGTACCATATTGTAAAATAGTTTCATTTGGGTAATAAGTATTGTCACTGATTGAAAGTCACAAGAATCATTTGCACAGTTTTATTCAGCCAGGCAAGATTTTAGCAACTCAATCGTGACAAAAAAGGGTTGGTCACAAATGTTCAGCACAAAAATCTGATTTGGTTTTTGCACAGGGTTTGTCTGTTCAGATCAATGTGTAAAAAATATTTGCATATTTGAAATATATGCCATACAGGTTGAATGAGAAAAAAAAAATAAAAAAATCACATCACTCTTTGACAGTGGAGTGCTTCACTACTTTTTCCTCAGTGACAAAAACAAGTCAAACAGTATCTTTATGTTTTCAAACAGCCATTCAGATTTTTGTATTTGTTATTGACTACATGCAAATATTCGTGTTGATCCGAAACAAATGCATTAACAGCCATTTATCAAATTAAAATGTTTATCACTGAACATTTATTTTGGTGTGAACAGGACTTCGTTTTCGATCATTCACATTTTACAGCTGGTATGATGTAGTGTCGTACCCTGAAAAAGAGATCTAGAGAGTCCTGTATGGATCTCAGAGAGAGTGTTTTTTTCCTGCGCGGCAGGTCGATGGACAGGTCATTGAACTGCTCGCGCTTCGTCACCACCTCTCCACAGCTGTTCACCAGAGCAAGAGAGGACTGGGTCAGTATGTCAGGCAGCATGTGTCGTCTCGTGACTTTTAATAATATGTCCTGTAATAACTACATGGCCTCTTTTATTCACCTTTTACATGTTATGGTGTGCTGCACTTCAAACTCCATGTTGACTGTAACCGGGCAGGTGTAAATGCGTGAGGTGTCCACCTCCTCTGCTAACCGAGCGCTCTGTGGCTCCTCCCAGGCCGAGGGCTCGTTCTTCCAGCTTTTGTTGATCTTCTCCACATCCTCCTTCAGCTGGTCTAGACACTGGCTCAGGAACTCATGGGCATCCTGGGCACAAACAGCTGATTGGCACTTGCATCATGTGAACAATGTGTCAAGAAGGCTTATTCACACCAAGAACAACAACTGTAAAGATAATTATAACTATATTAGCATCCATACCAACGGACAATACAATTGTTTACTATGCAGTTCTGTCATCTGTCAATTTAAATCCTCAAGCTCTTTGAAGTCAGATTCTTATTGGCTGTCAGTGTTTTTGTCGCTCAGCAGCTGAAATAATTAGAGTTATTATTATTCAAACGTTAAGAGTTATCATTGGTGTGAACGGGCTTCAAGTCTGATGCATCTGCATTAGAAATAAAGATATCACATGTCTTACATTCTGCATGTAACCATGTCTTACATTCTGCATGTAACCAGAGAAGCGCTCAGCTGTTGAGGAAATAGCGTTCTTCACTCGCCGCAAAAGATCTTTCTTCACTTCTGGAGGGGAAATGTCTTTCTTAGCCAGCAGATGAGCAAAGCGCCTTCATATGGAAACAAAAACAAAACATCAACAGGCTTGTGACTGGATAATCATTACATTTCGAATTTCTAACAAATGTTTAGAATAGTCCAAAAAGTACCTAATTTCGAGGGAAAAAACAACAGCATGACCATACCTCAGAAGGGCATTGACGGGGACCCTCTTCCATGGTATGCCCTGCTTTAACAGGTCATTCGAAAATGAGGGCAGGCTGAAAAGTGACTGGAGTATGGCGTTCATGTAACAGGTGTTCCCAAGATTGGAGAATCTATTGGACAATCAAGTAAGAGGCATGCGATAAGCTAAGGACAAAAAATAATGTCATTCAATATGGCAAAATAATGGCAATAATACTGACTTGTACTATACAATGTATTATTTAAACTAATATATATATATATGCATTTTAAATGTATCTCTCAGCAATAATAGTAAAACACTAATAAAGTTGCAAAAATTTTAATTTTAATTTGATGCATTGTAAAAGAAATGAAACAGCTAGGTTTTATGCATTCATTTGATTACCACCATTTGAAATTGGTATCATATAAAAACAGAATAAAAAAAATAAAAAAAACTAAAATTAAACAGAATTTGGGGGAAGAAATAAAACATTTCCTAGAACCCTATATTAGCGAGCTTTTGACACTCACCCTTGTAGTGGAGGCTGCGGCTGAGCCAGCGCGGATGGTCTTGGTTTGTTCCAGCCACCGTAGTCCAAAGTTGGGCGCACCTTTTTAAAGGGAGTTGAGTGATTGGGTAACATTAGGCTTCTTTTAGCAGAGGGACACTGGCCTGTACTGCTGGGCCTGTAAAGGAAAAAATATCAAAACAGACATGTGGTTTAGTAACCGCTAATCTGCTACGGATAATAAAACCAATAATACTTGCTTGTGATATTCAGTAAAATAACTGGCTCATAAAAAGTAATTTGTTTGTGAACTGGACTACACTAGTCACACTGTATGTCTGAAGACAATGCACTTGTTGTGCCAACATTATTTACCATTACGGAGTCATTTTATCACATTCAGATTACATTATTGCTGTGTCATTGTAAATTCAGCAGCACCATCACAGAACTTTGCAGGAAACACCGGTTTAGAAAGCACAGCCTATTGACAATGAGTAACAACACAGAGTCAGAGGCTCTTTACCTGTCCAAAACTGAATGAGTCTGTGAATAATCTTTAGTTCCTGTTCTGCTCCCATAAAAGGATGTTGGCTGGAGAGGGGCAGGCGTGTGTGGAGCTGAGGAAATAAAGTAATAAGCATATGTCATAAAGCAGAGAGGGAAGCCACTACAGAAGATAAAATGTGAATAGACACCAACCAGTTGCCCTGTTCTCCTCTGACTGCTTGAGTTTCTCTTTGCAGCTGAGCAGAAACTTTCTGGATGAGTCTGTGATGGCCTTATTGTTGCTAAAAACAGGCAATATTAGAGAAAGTTTATTTGCATTTAAGAGCACTCAATTCAAAACTTTTGAAATTTTTTTTTTATGTTTGCTAAGGCTGCAAAGCTGCATCAAATATTTTGCTTAATATTTTTTGTGAAAATATTTAAATGTTTTCAAGAGACTTTTATAAATACAGCATTTATTAAAACATTTTTTGTAACAATGTATTTACTGATTAATTGAATGCATCCTTTCTAAACAGGACTTAATTTATTTCAGAATGGGGGGGGAGGGATCCTACTGACCCCGGACTTTTGAACATTGGCATATCAAAATGAATCTGCGCTAAGATGAAGTCTCGTTTACCTAGAAGAGTCATTCTCTTTGGGGTAGTCCTCTGTCATATCACCATCAGAGTTCATCAGTCTCTTCCTCTTCTCACTCCTACAGGACAAAAACTTTAGTTGTGGTCAGGGCAATCTTTATTAAATTAACAGTCATTAAATTACTGAAACCCAAGATAACATGCAAGCAAACAACGTAACTGAGCAAAAAGTGCACACGCTTTCTAGAGACACTTTACCCAAATCTAAATTTGCACACCTGTTCTCAGAGAGCCCATTGCGGCCAGGTGTGGAAGTTACCCGGCTGGGACTCCCGAGAGGCTTTCTCGGTGTGCTGTCCTCTCTGCTGTCCAGACTTGGACGTCTTGGAGTGCTCTGAAAGAAACAGCAGGTCAATCATATAAAATTTAGAAAAGAATCCATAAGCATTTCAGTGCTTGTGATGCTACGCTACCTGTTTTTCTGATGGAGAAAGGCCAGAGTCATTCTGTGCTGCGCGATTCCCAAGAACTAAGCCAAAACTAGCACTCCCCTGGTTTGTCTTTAAAACTAAAGAAAGATCAAAAACGACAAAACCAAAACTTATCATGACTTGAAAACGAATGGACAGTGAGGTGAAAACTACAAACACAAGTCAAAAGAAACATACCTGCTGGTTTTCCAAGCCTCACCATTTCAAGGTATTCCTTCATTTTTTTAGCAACCAACAAGGACAGTTTGTCCATCATGACAACGCTTGAGTCTTTCAGAGTCAATGTCACGCGGTTTGGGCCATGCGTTTGATACCATGAAACCTGCTTAACGTTGTGATTCAGCTGCAACAAAATAAACAAATAAGTCTAAATAGCATTCAACAAAATGCATTTGATGCTCATGTCTTAAAATGACACTCTGTGTCTCTAAGGAGAACCTTGCAGATGTTTCTTAACCCTATAAACATCCTTCATTGTATTTCATACACATTTCTAAGGATTTAAATTATCCACATGATCAAGCTTTGCTGAAAAAAAAATTGATGCACACAATCTACTACATGCCTTCAGTCATCTGATTAATAGGTTATACTTTTCAACAAATAAAAAGCCTTTTAGTATAATTGTGAAAATGTCCACCTGCAGGTCTTTTTGCTGTTCAATCTTTAATTATGAAGATAAAATGTGTTTTATACTGTTAGTAATATTTCAAGATGAACATTTACTCGAACTCAGAATTAGATTTACCTGATTATCCATGCTTTTTTTTTTTTTTTAGAACATTTTAGAAAAATGTTTTTTTTGTTTTTTTAAATGCGAGTATCAAA